TGCTGATTATTCAAATTTAAGGATATTTGGTTGTCCTGCTTATGCTCATGTGAGGGATGGAAAACTTGAGCCGAGGGCAAAGAAGTGCATATTTCAAGGGTATGTAGTTGGAGTGAAAGATTATAGGTTGTGGTGCACAGATCAAAAGACTCCAGGGCTAATTATCAGTAGGGATGTAACATTCAATGAATCTACCTCACTAGACAGTCAGAGGGAGAAAGCAATAGCAGAAACATATCGTGGTGTCAATGACCGCATAGAGCTAGAAATTGAATATCCACTAGCTCAGCCCAGTAGTTCTAAAGTAGAGGAAGTGGAGGAGGTGCAAAATATTGATCAAGACGATAATGTTGATGCACCTGCGCAACAACCCTATAACATTGCAATAGGCAGAGAGAAGAGAGTGATCAATCCACCACAAAGGTTTGCAAACGTAGCTGATGTTAATTTTCTTGGATATGCTAATTTTGTGGAGTTTGCTTTGTCTGTTGTAGAGACCATTGATGTGCTTGAGCCGAATAACTATAAAGAAGCTATTTCTAGTCCAGAAGCAGATTAGTGGGTTGGTGCTATGAGTGAAGAGATTGAGTGTCTTCATAAGAATCAGACATGGAAGCTTGTTCCATTGCCAAATGGATAGAAGGTACTAGGCTGCAAATGGATTTTCAAAAGAAAAGAGGGCAATCCAGGGGTTGAAGCATCAAGGTACAAGGCAATATTAGTAGCTAAAGGTTTTACACAGATGTAGGGGATAAATTATAATAAAGTGTTCTCTCCAGTGGTATGTCTTACTGGCTTTGGTGGCTCTTCATGACTTAGAACTAGAGCAGTTAGATGTGAAAACTGCATTCTTGCATAGTGAGTTGGATGAGCAGATTTATATAAGTCAACCCGAGGGATACATTACTCAGGATAAGAAAAATCATGTTTTCTTGCTTAAGAAATCTTTATATGGTCTGAAACAGTCGCCTAGGTAGTGGTATAAAAGTTTGATACATTCATGATTCAAAATGCATTTTCTCGAAGTGCATATGATAGTTGTGTGTATCACAAAAAGCTTGAAGACGGTTCTAGTGTATATTTATTGTTATATGTGGATGACATGCTTATTGCTGCTAAAAGCATGTCACATATTACCCGATTGAAGAAGCAACTAGGTGAGGAGTTTGAGATGAAGGATTTAAGTACTGTAAAGAAGATATTGGGGATGGAGATTACTCGAGATAGTAGGGTTGGAAAGCTGATGTTGTTCCAATGGTCCTATATTGAGAAGGTCCTCAAGAGATTTAATATGACAGGTGCTAAATCTGTGTCTGTTCCTTTTGCTTCCCATTTCAAGTTATCTGCAGACATGTCACCAAAAATATACGAGGAGATGGAGCAGATGTCTAGTGTTCCATATTCGAGTGTTATAGGTAGCATTATGTATGCAATGGTTTTCACCCGCCCTGACATTTCACATACTGTTAGTGTTGTGAGTAGATACATGGCGTGTCTTGGTAAAGAACATTGGCAGGCGGTGAAGTGGATCTTGAGATACTTAAAGGGTACTGCAGATGTAGGCTTGACTTTTTCAAAGACAAGTTGAGTGAATCCTTAGTTGGCTATGTCGATTCAAATTATGCAGGGGACTTGGATAAGAGAAGATCTCTGACAGGCTATGTTTTTACTCTTTCTGGTAGTGTATCAGTTGGAAGGCGACTTTGCAGTCTGTCGTTGCTTTGTCTACCACAGAAGCTGAGTATATGGCAATTACAGAAGCAGTTAAAGAGGCTATTTGGCTACAAGGCTTGGTAAGTGATCTTGGACTAGCTCAGAAGAAGACACAAGTTTTTTGTGACAGTCAGAGTGCCATTCATCTTACTAAGAATTAGATGTTTCACGAGCCGACGAAGCATATTGAAGTCAGACATCACTTTATTCGAGACATTATATCAAAGGGGATTGTTAATGTGGAGAAAGTGTCTACGCATGATAATCCAGCTGATATGATGACCAAGGCAGTCCCGGCCCACAAGTTTAGGCATTGCCTAGACTTGATTGATGCCCTTGTGAGGGCTGAGGGCAAGGTAGAGAGATGTTGTTCCTGTGGATGAAGAGAATTCAAGCCAAGGGAAAGATTTGTTATTTGTGGCTTGAATAAATTCCTTGTATTTTTAGGAAACCCATAATCCCTATAGGTTTAGTAAAACCCATTGTCTTAATAGATTTGGGAAAGGAAAACCTATAGTCCTTGTCAAATTGGGAAACATTTCTCTTATATGTTTGGGATCTTTTGGGATCTATATATAGGGGTTGTAGTTGGGGATTCAAAAGATTGTATTGTACTTTTCTCCTCATTCATAGTGAAAAACTCTCTCTGCTTTTGCCCCAAGGATTAGGCTTAGCCGAACCTCGTTAAATCCTTGTGTTGATTTTTCTTCTCTATTTGCTTTGTGTGTGATTGTGTGCTAGTTAACCCGCGATATTCCGCAACAATAACCTTGAATACTGAATTTGTTGAAAGAGGTCCTGCTAATATTGAATTTGAACTTACATAACTAAGAAGGTTCGAATGCCTGTCATGATCATAAAATCCTCTGTTTTTCCTGCCATTGACAATCTCCAGTACCCAAACACCAAAGCTGTAGACATCAGATTTCTCAGAGAATAGTCCTCCCATGGCATATTCAGGTGACATATAACCGCTGCAACATATTTGTATAAATATGTGTCAGTATTTGATATTATGAACTATTTGTCTAAAGCTGCAAGAAGAGCGAAAAGAGAAACTTCTGCCTGTAGAAACAAAGGAATTTACAATGTTCCCACAATTCTCTGAGTGTTTAGTTCTTGAGTCACTTGAAAGGTTCTGGCCAACCCGAAATCTGATATTTTTGGAGTCATATCATCGTCCAAGAGAACGTTGCTTGCCTTCAAATCTCTGTGAATGACCCTTAATGAAGAATCGCGGTGAAGGTAAAGAAGCCCTCTAACAATTCCATGAACCATGTTGAAACGTTTTGGCCAAGAAAGCTCATGGCTTTTTCTTGGATCTGACAGTATGATTAACAGCACATCAAAAATAGTTATACAATTGAAGAAAGCAATGAAACTCCTCATCATAAAAAAAGGGCAGCCGGGTGCACTAAGCTCCCGGACCACAAGATTCTATTGTAAGCAGCCCTACTCTGCATTTCTGCAAGAGACTGTTTTCACAACTCGAATCCATGAGCTCCTGATCACATGGCAGCAACTTTACCAGTAATGCCAAGGCTCCCTTTCCTCCTTATCGTAAGATATATTATAAATTTTTGGAACCACTTACCAAACAACAAAGTGTCTAGGCTTCCATTAGCCATGTACTCATAAACTAGCAACTTCTCTTTCCCATAAACGCAATAGGCCAATATTCTAACGAGATTCCTATGTTGCAGTTTGGAAATTAGCAAGATTTCATTCTTGAACTCTTTAATTCCTTGTCCAGAGTAACTAGATAATCTTTTCACAGCTATTACTTGTCCATTTTCCAGTTTTCCCTGTATGATATTCACAATGATGGCATTAGTCTTCACATCCACAACGGTTATTTGTCTGTAAATCGCTCGACAGACAGGTATTACCTTATAAACAGGGCCAAATCCTCCCGCTCCAATCATATTTATTTCACTGAAATTCTCAGTTGCGATTGCCAACTTAGCAAAATCAACAAACAGTAGTTCTGATGAATCTTTTCGCAATACTAGTTCTTCCCACAAATTGTCTGTAGATGTATCAGCTGGAATGAGGTCTTTAACTCTATTTATTCTATTTCCTGATATTATTTTGGATCCACATGTGAGCAGTCATTGTATGTCAAAACTCAAAACGGTATAATATAAGAAAGCAATATAAAAGTTTTACAATGATACTAGTCTAAGTAATTACTATGATCTGCAATAAACTCTTGAAATCAGGAGAATAGATTTTACCTCTTTGACTTGCTTTCCATCTGTAGAAAATGCATCCAAAGATACCCAATACGAGAATGCTTGAAACAGTTGTGAAGCCGATGATAAGTTTTGCCTTCCTTTTATCTTCATCTGAAACTATATTATGTTATACGGTCAAAACTTTCTATAACATCCTTGTTTGTTCTGTAGTAAAATGATGTTATAGAGGACATATATTGTATCATAACATGAAACTCAGTTCCAAGAGAAACTTGACTTTTATAGTGAATGATTGTTTTATTGGGATGGTGTTATAGAGAGATCTGACTGTACTACAAAAGGCGACAACATAACAATTTTAAACATCCAAGCATAATGGTGAGAACTGAATTTACCTAGTTCAGAAAAAGCAAGACGAACAAACAAATCCGCACCATCATATGAAAACTGTTGAACGTCCATAAGTTGTGCAGTCCAAACCATGCAATTAATTCCATCTAGATACGCATAGGCTGCACAAGAACAGTTATTCAGGCACCATTCTTTGCAGTTCTAAGAACCATAATCATACAAATATGTGTAATGATCTGGCAGTTTCATCTCACTCAGCTGCAAAAACTTGTCATTTTTAGATCCCTTTGGCGCTATGCCACTTGCCGTACTGATTTCACATACAAGTTTAGTTCGCCTCACACAGCCACCAGTCCAATTTCCTCTGCTCCATTCCTCAGTCGACTTTGGTTCAAATCCTCTCAAGCAATCACAGATTGGAGACTTATTCTTATCGCAAACACCATAAGGACCACAAGTTCCATAAACATCACACGGATTATCTGGTGCCTTCCATCTGACTTTCCACGCGTTCAGTCCATCTTCCCATTGCATCATCTGCAATATCCTGACGGTTTTAGGACCATGATTTTAACATACAAATCGTTGACAGTATTCAAACTGAGAAATGCAGACTCCTGTTGCTTATTTGATACTATATTTATACCACTTGCATACCCCTTTTCATCATCAGGTACGCCTATGAAGTTCCCTCCATCCCATGGGCCACCTCTACTGTAAGGCCTCGAGTCGTTAGTCCTAGGTGAAGCCTTGAGGTGGCATTTCTACCGAAAGTCCAGCAATAAAATTTCCAGGCGACGGGTCATCTTCAGCTTTCCACGACGATAAAACTAGTTTCACCCCCGTCCTGCTGTTGTATCCTATAACCATTCCTGATAACAAGGTATCACAAGGATGGTTAAAACTATCCCATAAAGATGTTCCAGAGACAGTATCTTTAAGAATGAGTTCTCCTTTGTCTGTAAGCACGACAATTGTATTGTTAGACTGGACACTAACATTTGTTGACCAAACGGTATTTTGGTTGCCATCTACAATTCTGAGGTTTCCATCAATTCCAATCTTCAAGATTGCAGAAGAATCAGAAGCTGGTAATGGATCTTCTCTATTTGCTACCCATACAATTCTCTGACCAGGAATATTCTTGAACCATATACCGAGATATAGTTTGCTCGAGTTACTTGGATTGAAGAAGCCTAACTCATATATTTTGCCAGCAGAAACAAGCGTCTGATTCAACGACAGTTGTTGAGACTGAGTTAAGGTATCATTTTCAGCAAAAACTTGTGGTAAAAGCATCATTCTAACCATCAGAAACAGAAAAAATACCCATCTTTGCCATGCCATTTTCTGGAAATTCAACCAATAGGCTTCCTAAAAGTGTATGTCCAAGTATCCCTTTGGGTATTCAATCTCATTTCCTTTCGTTTTCCATAGAAGAGGTTAGGAAAACGTGAATCATTTGAGAAATAGTTTAAGAACTATGTTCAACAATATACCTTGTAGTTTGACATTTTCCTTGTTACTTATTTATTTGTGTTTACTTCATTATTTATTGATTGATGATTCATCAATCAGCCCATTGGCTATTAAGAAATATATGAAAATGGCTTTTTTTTAACATTGGCTTCAAAATCTATAATATTATCTAAAGCTATTCTTCATGTCTGCTCTCAGGTCATGAAGAAAGAGAACTAAACTAATCCAAGTAGAAATTAATCTAATCATAGAGGCACTGTTCTATTAAATATCAAAGTCAATATAATTTGAGTAACCCATTAAGTGCAGAGATAGGGGCGTAGCTACCTTAGGAAAAGGTGGTTCAATTGAATCTCCCTTGCCAGGAAATTATACTATATAAAAAGGTAAAAATAAAATTTTTGGTGTATATATATCATAGGTGTGATATTATTACATTTTTTCGCATCCTTTACTCAAATTCCTAGCTTCGTTACTAAGGAAACCCAACCATCCCACCATACCGCTCAAGGTATTACTTGAGCATCAATTTGCTACGGATCGACCTGTCTATTTCCAAGGTTAAAAATAAATAAGAATACAACTACATTAAAACTAAGGAGCAATTGTGTTGGATTTATATTTGGGCCGTCACTTTGGGCCTTGTAATTATTTTTAGATAGGTCAGCCGCAAATATGTATTAGACTTTCTTTTTCTTCTTCCGGTTTTGACCCACCTTGAGTTGGGCTTGTATATAAACATTGTGGGTTCCAGGTTTGAGGACCAACGGGTTATATTGCAAATTATCTGAATAATGTCGTCGCTCTCGAACCTTCCTTCCCCAAGTTAGATTACTGATTTCTTCTTCGTCTCTGCTCGATTTCATACAATCTAACATGGTATCAGAGCATCATCATCAAGATCCGGCGTAATCTCCGATTTTTAGTACCTTAATTTCTCTCTTTCTTCCTATTTCCAGAAAATTGGAAAACCTATTTTTTCAGTTTTTAAAGTTCTAGCCCAAATTTTTGGTTTTTATGATGGATCGAGTGCTTTTCAAAGTTTATTGTGGATGAAAGCTGGGATTTTGCAGCCGTTTTATCTCAATTTATGGATTAAAGTTGTGGTTACTCGGTGGTGCGTGACGCGATAAGTCTGTTTTTGCTGGTTTATCAGGTTTTTAACTTCGTTTTTCCGGTGGATTCTTCCGATGGTTTGGTAACCTTTTTCGCTGCAGCTCATTCATTTTATTGGTTATTATTGTGCCTTTATCTTCTGTGCCCTAGCTTTTATATATTATATCTCTTTACTCATGGAGAATGAAAATAATGCAACTGCGTCTGAAACCGATCCTAACTCCCCTACTTTTACTCAAACTGAGCTTGTTTTACCTCCCTCTCACCCATTCTATCATCATCCTTCTGATAATCCTGATACTATTCTCGTAACCAAATAATTTAATGGGGACTGTTTTGGAGCCTGGCGAAGAGGCAGTATCATTGCTTTGGGGGCAAAGAAGAAGTTAGGATTCATTAATGGGAGTTATGTTCAGCCTTCTCCCAATTCTTCTTTGTTTGAACACTGGGAACAGTGCAATAACATGATCATTAGCTGGATCCTTAATTCCTTAGACCCCGATATTTCATAGAGTGTCATATACTCCAAGTCTGCTAAGAGTCTATGGGATGAATTGAACCAGAGGTATGGGCAAGCAATTGGTGCTAGGATGTATGAAGTCCAAAAGGACCTAAATTCTATTTCTCAAGGCTCTTCTGATGTGGGAGGTTATTTCAATAGGCTAAAGAGACTCTGGAATGAAATAAAGTCTCTTGATGCTGACTCTTTTTGTGTATGTGAATGTAAATATGGAGGTAAATACAAAATGATCAAAAAGATGAAAAATCAGGAATTGATGCAATTTTTGATGGGTTTGAATGAGGTATTCAACGCTAGAGGAAATATTCTAATGATGCAGCCACTTCCTGAAATTAGAAGGCTTATTCTCTAGTTGTTCAAGATGGGAAGTAAAGAGGGATTCACAATGTACCTGGTTTCAGTCTGACTCTGCAGCTTTTTCTGCTAGCTCTAGTGGTCCCACTTATAATCCAAAACCACCACAAACCACAAATTTTACAAAGAGATATACTTTTAACAATCCAAATCCTAACAATCAAAGTTTCAACAATCAAAAGGGAGGCTATGATCCAAAAAGGCTCTATTGCAGATATTTTAAAAAGCCTGGACATGTAACTGAGAAGTGCTACAAGTTGCATTGGTTTCCATAACCTTCAAAATCAAGGAACAAGAATATCCGAGTTGCTGCACCTGTTCATTCTTCTCCTGATGCCAAGCCTGATCATTCCCTTGAGAACATCAATATTGCCAATACCATTACACCTGATCAGTACATGCAACTCATGAATATCCTTCAACATGTTCAAGTTGGTCCTGATGATTCTCAATGTCACTCTACCACAACTAACTTTGCAGGTATATTTTCTTTCTCTTCTCATTTGATGAGTTGTGTTAATTGTACTTGTCTAAGTAGTGTTCTAACTCCTGAAACCTAGATCCTAGATTCTGGAGCATCAAATCATATGACCTTGAAAAAATCTTTGCTTACAAATATAACAGCCCTATCTGTTCCTACCTTATCACATTACCCCATAGGTATAAAGTAAAAGTGACCTCAATTGGTTCTGTCCAGTTAAATCCTTCAGTCACTCTGTCGAAGGTGTTATATGTGCCTACTTTTAAATACAATCTTATTTCTGTCCACAAGTTATCAGTTAATACTTCATCACTACTATTTTTTCCACAACATGCATGTTTTCTACTGTGCCCTTCTGTGAAGATGTCATTGGTACTTGGTAAGATGGCTGAAGGGCTCTGCCTGTACAACTCCAGATCACAATCTGCAGTCACACATTCTGGACCTCCATCAACTTGTCATTCCCCTGCTTTAATTCCTTTTTCTGTTCATGCAAACACATTAAATGTAAATAAGTCCCAACTTCTATGGCATAATAGGTTGGGACACCTTCCATTTCAAAATTACAGAAAATAAACTCTTTGAATGTGCCATTTTCTGATAAACAACCTTTCATTTGTGATATATGTCCACTTGCTAGACAATAGAGATATTCTTTCCTTGATAGTAGTTCCCATTATTCCCATTTATTTGATCTTATTCATGTGGATGTTTGGGGACCGTTTCACACTGACACACAGAGATCTTATAGATATTTTCTCACAATTGTAGATGATTGTAGTAGAAAAACTTGAACACATCTCCTAACTCACAGGGGCAATGCTCTGTCCATTCTAAAGTCTTTCTTTTCCATGTTTGAAACTCAGTTCAACACCAAAATTAAAACTATTCGAACAGACAATGCTATGGAACTTGATACCAATTATAAAACTAGTCAATTTTTTCAGTCCAAAGGCATCTTACACCAAACCTCTTGTCCTTACACGCCCCAACAAAATGGGATTGTTGAAAGAAAACATAAATATTTGCTAGAAACAGCAAGAGCTTTTCTTTTCCAATCCAAATTCCCAATTATATTTTGGGAAGACTGCATTTTAACAGCCACCTACTTGATTAATATATTTCCTAGTACCATCTTATTTGGCATGACTCCTTATGAGGTTTTAACTAGGGAACAACCTTCTTACAGTCATCTAAGAAGCTTTGGGTGTTTGTGTTATGCAGTAATCCCTAAACCACATAGGAATAAGTTCTCTCCTAGGTCTAGCACATGTGTTAATTACTTGTTGGCTTGTAACCATTTTCATAATTCCAAAGTCGAAGAAAAAATTTAGTATTTGTTTTGGTAATTAAATAATTTTATTTACCAAGTATAGTTATTTACAAATCCAAACAAAACTAAGACTAGTCTTTAGTATAACTCCTCCTGGACATGAAGCCCCAGCTTAGAGTTACCTAAACTTTGCTACTTACCCACCTCGTGCTTCTAATTTCTCCAAGTCTACGTTAGGATACCAATTTAGTATTGACATGGCTCGTGCTAGTCTAGGGAATAAGCTGGTCCTAACATGTATTTCCTGGATGATCAATCTTAGGATAGTGTTGGTTGATCTCTTCGTCTTCTGGAAAATCACATTATTCCTCTCTTGCCAACTGTGATAAACTATTGCTGCTAGTGTCATTCTGCACACTGCTGCCCCTGCATTCTTGCCTTTACCAACCTGTTCTAACCACTTCAACTCCTCCTGCCAAGTTTTCTTTGTTCTCTATATACCTTGCCAATTCAGTAATTGCTGCCATAGAGTTCTTGATACTTCACAGTCAAAGAATAAATGTTGCACTGTTTAGAGTGAGCATGTTTGTTCTGAAATAATCCTCCATCGGACTAACCTTTCTTTCGTAGATAGCCTGTCTTGCATTGCTATTCGTAATATGAAAATCCACTTGGGCGATCCCTGATTATTGCATACTAGTTTCCTCCATTCATCTTTTGAAATTCTCCTTGCATGGATTTTTGTACTTGCCTCATTGAGAATCTCTCGATCTGTTGAACATCTCCTTCTTTATATCCAGCACCCTCAAAGTAGTACTTTTCCTTGAATATCTTTTGGATGATCCATGATGCACTCTTAGGATCTGTGTTCCAGATAGTCGTTCCCTTTATGTAGTATGAATGAATCCATTGAACCATAATTTTTCCTTCTTTGTGTAGATGTTCCACAAGAGTTTACAAATAGCTGCTTTGTTCCACATCTTCACATTGGTAAAATTAAGTCCACCTGCTACTTTTGGGGCACACCACTTGTCCCAGGAAATTAGTGCCTTTTCTGTAGGCTCATAAGCTCCTGTACATAAGAATCTCCTACAAATTGTCTCTATGAACAGAATATTTCCTTG